TAATTTTATTTCAGTGCTAAATTTTGTTTAAAGTAACGGATTCTAATTAAAAATGTCTCTGGTTGAAGCTTTTCTTTATTCTGACCCCTCTGATTATTAATTGGTTACCCCTGCTTTATTCAATGTTTTTTTTCTGCTAATAATTTTCTGAAAGTTTAAATAATGGTTAAAAAAAGCAGCTTTTTGCAGAGTTTGCTTTGTTGGGGAAGTGGCTGTTTGTGGCTCTGTTATATGAAGGGGTGCGAAGAAGGAGGGGCGCCGCTGCAGCTTTATCTGCCTCTGCTGACGGCAATGCAACATAAAGGGTGGCCATTGTTTGGCTTCTAAACATGCATCAAAGCAAACAGTTATGTATTTATAAAACTATAGTGCATTTCTGAAACATTCTTAAGGCTTTATTGAAACTAATGTAAGATTCTACATGACAGCGTCTTTTTTTTAAATTTTGTTAGCTTTGTATAATCTAATTGATTAATTATTTTGTTTCCTTTTTCACCTGCAACCTGTTAGTAAACCTGCAACTTGATTTATATTGTCTCAAATGTAAGGATCTTTACATTTCATATGCAAAGTAGTGTTTCTGATGATGACTAATTGCCCTTGGATGATATCTTCAATATAACACCATATGACACTCAGAGTAATACTATTCTGTATTTTTTTTACATATTTATGATAGTGAATTACAGCTAATTCTGTTTTTCAGAAATAGGGATTTCAATCAAAATCTTCAACTATGATCATGGCTTATAGTTTATGGGAAAGCACTATCGACTTTAAAGCAAACCAGCAGACATCATAAACCACAAACAATCATCGCTTAGGAAGCTGGTTGTTCATAAAGCTGTATCCAAGTCTAAAAAAAAGTTTAGTGGAAGGAAAAAGTGTAGCTCAATTGCTTCAGCCTAATTCTAAAGCAAAAGCATCTTTAGACCTTTAAAGAGCCATTAATTCCTGGACGAGGCCGCCTTTTACAGTTGCCTTTTGTATCTCTGCTTGTGTCTCCTTTAACCCCACACTGGAAAAACGATCTAGAAATAATTAGAAATTTCTTAAATTAAGGGTATTTTCCCTTAATTTGAGCAGGTAAATGAGATGATTTGCCAATGGAATGACTATTTTTACTCTTGAAATAAGATATTGAGATAATATGCACTTGAAATAAGACAATGCAATTGCGTTTTCTTATTTCAAACGTACTTTGTCTTGTTCCATTGGCAAAATGCCCCTTTAACCTTCTCAATTCAAGAACAAATGCACTTATTTTAAGAAAAAATTACTTATCTAGATTTTTATTTTATCCAGTGCAGTCGGCCTCAGCAGATGGCTGCTGACACTGAGCCTGGTTCTGCTGGAGGTTTCTTCCTGTTAAAATAGTTTTTCCTCTCCACTGTCGCTACAAGCATTATTAGTGTGAGGGATTGCCTTTGAGTCAACGAGTCGATGCAATCAACTTTTTTAGATAAAACTGTGAATCAAGTTGACTGCAGGATCTGGTGAACTGTAAAGTGCCTTAAGATGACATGTGTTGTGATTTGGCGCTATATTAATAAACTGCATTAAGTTGAATTAAATGTAGATGGAGAACATGCTGCAAGAGCAAAACCCACCAGACAAACATCAGAAGTTTCCTGCCTGTGCAGAGGGAAGAGAGAACTAGATTTTTGCTTAGTGAACATTAAGTTCCCCTCTGCTGATTAGCTTTACTAAGATGCTGCAATGCAAAAATGATCTAGAAATAAGTAAATATTTCCTCAATTTATCCTTGTTTACCCCTAATTTGAGTGGGTAAATAACATTATTTGCCAATGGAATGAGTATTTTTACTCTTAAAATAAGATAATTAGATAATATGCACTTGAAATAAGACAATGTAATTGTTTTTTCTTGTTTTAAACCTACATTGTGTTGTTCCATTGGCACAGTGTCTCCGTTGCTTACTTAATTCAAGAAAAAATGCACTTATTTGAAGAAAAAAAATGACT